TACTCTCTTGTAACACCTCTAATCTTCTGGCGCTCATATGACCTTATGCAGTTGCGAGCGCCGTAAAACCCCTACTAAAACTAAAACTGACTGTACTTTTCCCTCACGTAGGAACAAAATCTTTTTCTTGCTGATTTTCTATATTTCTACTATCTTTTTCGTTTGGTTTTGTTCACTCAGTCTGATTGGTCACAAAAACCCAATAAACAACGTTTATTTATTTCTTCTTAGCTCTCAAACAAGCCATTCTGTCAACATTATTTAATCATTCTCTTCTATTTCTCCTCTCTCTCTCTCTCTCTCTCTCTCTCTCTCTCTCTCTCTCTCTCTCTCTCTCTCTCTCTCTCTCTCTCTCTCTCTCTCAAAGATCAAGTTTGCTTTCTAATCAGAACTGTTGGACCCATAATCTGTGTGCACCTGACAGGGAAGGGGAGAAAGTTCTTATATGCACATGTATTCAACAACGTACAGCACTTATCCCTGTCACTGTCAACTGCCAGGCCTTGTCCACAATCCTTCGAGTCGCAGTATGTCATATCCTACTCAATTTAAGTGGACTCGGTCGGTCCTTCACATTATCATCCATGAATTAACTTTTTAAATATGATCAATCACAGATTATAATAACAATAAAATATACGGTAGCAGAGATTAAGATAGTCTCGGGCTTGGGGGTGAAATGGTTTTAGAACCCAGGAAAAAAGGGGGAGGGGATTTAACAGTCATCTTCGCCTTACTTGATCACAAAACGGCCCGCGGGCCAGATCCGACCGACGACAAGTAAATTAGATTGGCTCGTTGCTAGCTTTGTCACGACACCATCATCATCATGTGCTAGATCCTCGACAAACATCGGCGATCACGGTTCTCTCTCAAATCATCCTGTTGCTTGGATGCTTTAAAAAATATAATATATAAAAATACGTACATTATATCGATCTTCCCTCTTTACCAATCTCTTTAGGCTCTCTCGATTGGCTGCTCTGTGCCAACGCCCGCCTCGCTTACCTTCGAATTTTCCAGTGAGAGCTCGTAGATGTTCAAGTCATTCTCTCTTTCTCTCTCTCTCTCTCTCTCTCTCTCTCTCTCTCTCTCTCTCTCTCTCTCTCTCTCTATATATATATATATATATATATATATATATATATATATATATATATATATATATATATATATATATATATATATATATATATATACCTGAACGATGTCCTTATAGCATGCTCAGCATTTGGTCGCCAAAATGGGAACTCCTATATAACATATTGTACTATACGGAGCGCAAGTTCAGCTGGCGCACGGCATCGCTTGGTTATTTAGTCATTACATAAATGCACGGAAACCCAGCGAGCAAATCTATTACAACATTGTTGTACTCAAACTGTAGTTTATTGCATGGATCGTTCATACATTATTTCTATTCAGTTTGTCGTTTAATGTATTCAAGTAGCTTAAATCGAGCGGTTAGTTTGTAATAGGTACTGTAAAATGGATGACAAAAATTGGCTGCACATTGTCGAATAGCCTCTCGTATACAAAAAACCCCACAACAACACACAGAGAGGGAGAGAGAGAGAGAGAGAGAGAGAGAGAGAGAGAGAGAGAGAGAGAGAGAGAGAGAGAGAGAGAGAGAGAGAGAGAGAGATAGAGGGGGGGGGGGAGAATTCAATAAAAGCGCATTTATAGAATTCATACAATACTGTATGTGTTTTACGGCTCTTGCAACTGTATAAAGTCAAACGAACGCGCGGAACACATAACACTTTCAGTTTAGCTGGAATTAATTTTGAATTTTTGCACTGGTAGCCTACTCTTATCGAATTAGAATCACCAAGGGATCATTAACTTGCACAACTTGCCCACGAGACTGACGAGATTTTTTGGCCCTTATCCGACAAAGCTAGGTGTTGGATCTTACCTATTCTAAGATCAGGGGTGTGGCTGAAAGACAGCAGTAAGAAAGGACCAAGGTGTAGCAGTAGAAAGACTGCAGAAAAAGTCAGAACCCAGGGGAGGGGGAAAAGGGGGAGAGGGAGGGGGCAGAAAGTGGAGGCGAAAGCAGGCGACAGAACATGATCTGAGAGCAGGAAAGAAGGTGAAAGGAGACAATTTTTTAGAGAAGAAAACTTTCCGTCCCTGTCAGGTTTCGAACCTGGGACGTATGTATGAGATACGAACACCGTACCTCTAGACCCCGAAAGCCCCCTAAATACTGGCTATCTACCTAATACTGTGTTCTTGGCTTTTGAAAGTATATTATGAGTATAGTACTGAACAAAACAGTTATCTGGCCTGCACTCGGCATCTCTGGGTTATCCAGCCTACTATATTGAAAAGAAAAAAACAGTTTTGTGACCCGTTTTGAAAAGGAACATGGTTAATTGTGCTTATCGTACAATATGACTCATGGGGACCAGATGCACTGAACGGCATAGAAACACCGCCATTGCTAGCTTTTAACTACGTTATATTGGGGGAGGCGAAGGAAATGTTGTTGCTGTTGTTGTTTTTGTTGTTGTTATTGTTGCTGTTGCTGCAGCTGTTGTTGTTGATTCTTCTGTAAGCATAACTTGAACAGCGATCTCGGCCGCGGTCAACCTATAACAATCTTAAAACAAATGCTGGGATGTTGAAACAAACTAAGAATCATATTCACGCGCTGAAGGAGCGCCCCGTATGTTGCCAGCTAAGCGTGAAGCACAGCACGACACATTGCGCACGAGCAGCATCACAGGAG